ATTACAAACAGCGAAGTTAAAAGAGGAGAATAACAAGGCAAGTGTTCGTTGATTATCTTGTCTTCGAAATTTCTGGAAATTCAAACGGTGCTCATATTCGAAAACGTGAAAAGCACAAAAATTTTATTCCTTTTTACGTTTTACTATCATTTCTAGTTTGTATTAATACATAGCAACGTTCAGACAGGTGCCACACTTTTTTGAACTGCCCTCAAAGTTGCGCTATTTTTGTGTTTTGATGGCAGGCTGATAACACGTGCAAGGAAAAAGATTCTTGCCGTTAAAATGAATAAATAATTCGGAACTGTGATATGGCTAGGACATCTAGAGTGGTGTATCCGTATATTAAAAAGAAAATCGGGCTTCTTGAACGAGTTGTTTGTTTTCTGTAGCGCCGGCAATGTTGGCAAGTTTTGCAGTTTCAAAGGCTATGGCGCGGTGCCAGCCGGCCGAAAATTCAAAAATTCGTAAAAAATTATTTCGCATTTCCGGTCAAACAAAATGCATTTTTGTAACTAATTAGGTAAAGACTTTAATATCCTAGAATACAGGGAAAATGAATTTTTTGATCCGAAATCACTGGTCGGTTTTACGGAGACACGCCCTTAAATAAGGTATCAGTTTTCGTTTCTCTCATCCTCAAGTAGGGTCAGTACTTCAGGCCCTCGGAGACAAACATCTATCCGAAATTTATGGGGGTACCCCACCTGGAACTTCACACACACCGACTTGATCGAAAAAACTAAAAGTGTAAACAACAAAAGCAAAATATGTAACTAGACACAATAACCAATGGAGATGGATTCCTCGAAGTTGTAAATTTCAGCGGCAGAAATAAATAAATGAAATGAAAACAAAATAATAAAGCATTTCTTTTTATCCCGTAATAATCCCATGAAAATAAGAACACATGATGTCGACTTGTTTGACTTGATCGTTTTACCAAGGTACAAGAATTGATATACCTACAACACTCGTCACAATAGCTGGGACAGTAGTGGTATTTTCTACCCCCGTAATGTTGGATTTTGCGAGTTGGAATGACAGAAGCAAAAAAACAACAACAACAACACTGGGAGGGAAGGAGCACATTTTTTTTTTGTCAGGAAATGGGTACAGCACGGGGTGTCCCAACGTAATGTAACAAGGATTGTAGGTAAACATTAGGTATAACGGCGGGGCTCTCATGCTCGCGAAACACAAGCAGCCGGGCACTATGGATAATAAAATTTGGTTATCTATGCATTCAAGAAATTTTAATTGTGACACAATCTTCCGTCCTTAAGTCCGCCTTTCATATTAGCGCATGAAAAATGTCACACTCACTTATTATAAGCGTTAATCTAAGGTATATTCAATTTGTGATTAACTTGATATTAGACATCCACTTGTCAAAATAGGGTATCCGCTAACAACTCTCCGTATCGAAGCCTCAGGTTTACAGCTTTCTTCAAAGGCATTACTTAAAAGACCAAACGAGAGCTTCGTTTTTGGCCCTCGCTAAATCTACATGTTACCTTGGTAAGTGCCACTGAGGAAATAAGAATTGGACTTAAATGAAAGAATTAATAACCCTGTAATCAGACATGGCCTACTGATGGTGAAGAACGCCGCGGGTAAAGACGACGTATCTAATATACTCCATTCGACGGGTATCCCGTCAGGTAATTATAAAGGATTTTACCGCAAAAATTGCTGTGAGTTATTATAATACGGTAGTTTTCACTTTTTTGCGCGGGTATAGTCTGGTCGGGTACACAGGAAACCAAAATGTGACACCCACAGGCATTTATGTCTGATTTTGGCAACGTAGGTATTCTTACTAGCTTGAGTTCGCTGATTTTGAAAATCATTGTTGCCAAACTCAGTTCTTGTGTTAAGGTGGAGTTTGGGGATTGTCACTATGACGTCATTGTCCAAATGAGGGGTTTTCTCTCCTTTAACAATTCCAAATTTAAAAGAGACAGAAATTCTTTTAAAACGTTATTAGTGTTTTAAAAATTATATTCTAAGAATTTCTGACTGTTTTTACGCTGCTTATATTAACATACAGCCATCACGTGACACTTGACCACACCCTCTTATAGAAAAATCACCTTATCACTTGTATATTTATCACATTGGTAGTCTTTACACTAGAGCCTAAATAAGCTAAGAAATATTTCAAGAGCAGCAAATTTTAATTACTTCAAGTAAAATAAAGTTTCACACACAACCGATTCTTTTTTACTTCGGGTTAACTTAAGGCTATTTTCCCACGCAACATAATTACGATTGATTGACGTGTTTCGCCTTTCTCAAACCTCAAGGGTGCTTACCATTTGACAGAAAATTTCGGAAATTCCGGATGGATGGTAAATGGTAAGGTCACTTTTCGGAAATTCCAACCAAAAATTGAGGAGTATGTTTTGAGGTAGTCCGTTCATTCCAGTTGGTACAAACCAAACGGAATGTTGCTTACCAACTACCAATTTCTCGGTTCCAGACGCATTCGCCCCCTTTTTGGATTCAAACCGTAACGGATGTGGCAACTCTACGGTAAACTGGTAAATCGCTTACCATTATGCTTTCGACACCCCAGCCAGATTTTTCTGTCAAATGGTAAGCACCCCAAGAAACCGCAAGTAACCGCAAGTCAGCTAAGTCGGTTTTAAGGATGCTTTTCAAGTCGCTTGAAACTTTCTTGAATCGTTTCAACTTTCCGACTTTAATGAGATGCAAAATAAAGTTACTTGAGATTTTACTTAGGCCTTCACACACGAATTTTTGGTTAAGTAAAACTTAGCAGCTCTTAAGTCTTACTTAACAGCCTAGTGTAAAGACAGCCATTATTTTTTTGTAATGTACTTAGGAATACATATACAACTTTTTGTTTTTCCTGTGCAATGTTGAATCCTAGTAATTTCACAATTCACTATGGGCCTCAAGCTTGCTAAATGTTTTGTTTTATTTGGGCCTCTTTGTCAACCAGGTACCTGTGTTGCGTGGAAAGTGTCCTTTCCACCTAGTAACGAATGGCTGATGTCAATGTTATTAGCAGTGAACTGCATGAAGTTGTCCGGGTTTAGATCAGTTAGGACAACGGTGCCGTTTATCTATTTCAAGAACAGACTGTATCTTGCGCTAGTGAGGGGTCAAACTTGAGAATTTGCCTGTCGTAGCTGTATATCGCCCTCCTTGTGCAGTAGATCTACTAACAGCGTTGAGTAACTAGGAGCGTACATCATAACTCACCGTGATGTAATCCCCCGTATCAGTGCGTAAGAATTCGAACAAGTCTCCAACTTTTCTCATGATGCTTTCCTGTTGATAGATGCCTGCGGTATTTTTGTATTGGTTTTATGGGCTAGCTTATTATATCCCGGCCATACGTCAGATAGCTAGAGTATTTGGTTACGCTCTGCAGTATAGTGGCCGAGCTCAAAGCGGATAAAATCATAACGATAACTGCCTGTTGAGATTCCTCTTTCTTTTTGCCAGTCTGGTACTAAGCGCTCAGACACTTCTTACGATACCTTTCCGACCCTTTTGCAGCAATGAGATCGCTGACCTCAGCAAGGCAAAATTTTATTGCATTATCCAGATTAACCTGAATTTCAGACGATTACTTCGAATCCTTTTTTACTCTTTTAGCAACGTCTGAATCGACCGGCCACTAATCCCGTCCAGTGTGACGTCACTACCTTAAAACCGGATAGTGTTTGATTGGTTGATTCTTGTCCAAACATTCGCAGAATTACGTATAATTATGAGAAATTTTAGCGGGATTGCCGGGTCGGATGCCTGGCATGTTTGCGTGGAGTTAAGAAAATTCGAAAGCGAAAATTTCTGGGATTTAAGTCTTGTCATTTCCACCGTCAAGTGTAATGATTCTGTTTAACTTTTTTTCTTGTTTTTTTTTTCTTCTCCTTCGTTAAGGACGAAATAACTTCTTTCCAGTTTAAGCAAATCGTTGTGTTCTTGTTGTTCCGTGTGTGTATTTTAAAAACATTGCGATCGAGTTTGAGTATTGAAATAAACGTACAACAGATTCGTTCAGAGTACTGCAGGCAGATGACAGTTAAACATGAAGTACGATCAAAAAGAGTAAAGCACTTCTGTATCATGTAGACATTTCCAGGCGATATTTCTTTGTTTGCCAGTTGAAAATCGTGTTTTACTTTGCATGAATTAAGGCAAAGGAGTAGTGACGTCACTGGAACTATTTGAACTTACTCGAATTTCGAAGTTGCCTTGGTCTTGCAACTTATTTAGTGAGAGGAAAATTGCAGGAATGTGAAGGTTTTGCAATAATTGCCAAGAGCTCGAGCAATCAAAGAATGGCTTATTCTAATATACTTTTTAATTATCTTTAAAAAATTGTCACGATAAATACCACATCTTTAGCCATAATTGTGTCAATTTTTGTATTAAAAGGGTGTGTCATGTGACGCCTCGAAATTCGCAGAAACAGCGTTTTATAAATTCTCTAAATGGTCTTTAAAATATACGTAGAGCCCTTTGAAACAATTTCTGGATCTATTAAGTTTGAAATTGGGAAAGGAAAGAAAACTACTTATTTGCACAGTGAAGTCACAAGGAAATGCCCTAAAACCCCACCTTAACACAAGCTTGAGCTTGGCAACAGTAATTTTCGAAATCAGCGTACTCGAGTTAGTAAGAATAGCTATGTCGCCAAAAATCAGACAAAAATGCCCGTGGGTGTCACAGTTTGGTGGCCTGTGTAGAAGACATAGTATTGAGTTAATACTATGGTCCATGTATTTTCTCGCCAGGAACCGGGAGGATAGGTATTCAACATATACGCAATTCTACAGAATCGTTAATACGTAACAACCAGCCTCCCTAGTTCTTACAGCAGTAAAAAATAGTTAAGAAGTCTGGTCTGGCTCAACTTTACGTTTTATTACTATTTGGTTTTAAACTGAGCAAGCAATATTCTTACCCCAAGGAATGTCCGTGTAACCTCCAAAAACGTATCTACCATTTTTTATAATGGTAACTGTGTCTCTTTTTCCATCGCAGCGTCTGTGAAACTGTGTACGGACATTCCAGCCGTGCAATGTAGCCCGCCAGCACAGTAGCCAGTGAGAATTGTACCCAACTGCAGGCTCCAGAAATGTTCCCAGATGGTACAAATAAGATGAATTTGTTTTCAATATATTTGAATCCAGCGCTAAAAATAAGAGGACAGTAAAATAAAGACTTCCCTTTACTCAGAGACGCAAAGCTCCATTGTCCATTGGGGGAGGGGGGGGGGCGGGGGGGGGGGGATACATGGGGTGCTTTTTTACATACAGAATTCACGTGAATCGATTGTACTGCAACCTCTAAGTTTAAAGACATATTTTGTCGGTGTTCAGCCACCGAAATGAGACCAACATTAAAAGCTACTGAAATTATACTAATTTAAACACAAAATCAAACGTACAAACAGCCATGGCCCAGAATACCAGGCAGTTTAATTTCAAAGATGGTACCGTTAATTTGCACTCTTAAACTCGACGGTCAACAACGCTTCTCAACTTGGAATGTAACAATGTTGCCCAACAAGTTAAGCGAAAATGTTGCCTGTATTACTTGACCTTAAAGATCATGTGAAAATTTCATGTGCTTCTATCAAATTGAAACATTAGAAATTCCACAAACCTTTCGCGTTTGATTTTTTTTCCTTTAAAATAGCTATCAGCGAAAAAGGGGAAATGACCGCGATATCAATGATGACGATAATGACAATGCTTTCACCATTTGATAGATCCGATCACACAGCGGCGTTTTTTATCAGAGGTTATCTACAATTTCAATGTACATTATATTTACCTGTGCAATTAACGCCGAAATATCCTGGCGGGCAGAAACATCGGAAGGATCCTTTGGTGTTATAGCATAGGGAGCTGCTGTTACAGTTGTGTTTTCCTGTTACACACTCGTTTACGTCTGCAAAACAGAGGTGCATGCTACTATTCAGTTTGCGTTTAATTCTGAATTGTCTTTTTCGCCCGCAAAAGGAATACTGAGAAACTATGAAGCAGTTTTCATATCAAAAATACTATTCACTGTGCAATTCAATTATGTCTGCTTGTCATTCAGTTATTTCCGTTTGTTATTCAATTGTCTTCTTGTCATTCAATTATGTTCGTTTGTCTTTCAATTATGTCTTCTTGTTGTTCAATCACTATATCTCATCATGCCTGCTTGACATTCAATTATGTTCGATTTTATCTTCCAATTACTGCTTCTTCGCGCCTTTCTTGCACGAGGTTTGCAAATGGCGTCGAAGGAAATTCAAGATGTGAGCGATTCCGAGGGAAAAGGAGAAAATTATCAACGAGCATTAACATTGTTGAATGAAGCGGTGGATATCCCCTGAGAGTCAGTAATCAGCGGTGCTTTTGCGGGCTCAGGTACAACCGGTCAATCGATATTGAAACGATATTGACTAATTGAATCGCAAAAAGCCATAATTCAATGAAGTTCATAAGGTAAGAAATTGCATGACAAACAGTTATAATTCAATGACTAAATGACCAGGGATAATTTAAAGACAAAAAGTAGTAATTAAAAGATAATATCGAACCTAATTGAACGTCAAACAGGCATGATGAGACATAATTGAATGACAAGCAGACATAACTGAAGCTGCACAGTGAATGAGTATTTTTGATATGAAAACTGCTGCATAAGAAACAGTTTTCTCTAATCACTCCGATGATTACAGACGGAATTGATTTCAGTGCGAGTCCTATTACCACTATTAACTGCTGTTCTAAATATGATTATAACAGTGTAATGGGACATTGCCCGTCATATAAACCTGAGTAATGGTACAATAATCACGCCATGCCGCGCGCGCTCTTCGATTTTGCTGTTACACAGGTAGCCCAGGCTCGAAATATGAGCATCGGCGAGCATCGGCATTGTTGCGTAACATTCAAAATATAAGGATTTGTATGGGAAAAAACCTATCGTTTTTGTAACCTACGAAAATGAAAGGATTTCAATAAAAAACAGCTTACCTTACTTAAAATGTGTGTTACGTCTCTCTTGTGTGGTCCACGGGTCGATTTATGGCCGTTTTATGGGTTTTTATGTAAACGGTTTTCTCTTTATATAAAGGTTTACCAAGGTTGGGCACTCCAGCGAAGCGGCTCGACTGATCCACCGAAGGAAAACGGCCATAAATTCGCTCCAACTGCTCCAATCGCCTCCAAATTCCGGCTAGGTAACACACGATAGTTCTTCTTTCCATTCGTTATCTTGCTTCAAGACTCCTTTGCACCGTGAGCGAATCAAAGGTGGCAAATCTCTGCAACCTTTCCCGTCTGAAGTAGCCTGTGCCAGGCTCTCAGATAGTATACGTAGTGGGAACGTATTAAAAGCGAAATTAAGACGCGCACGACTTGGGAAAGGGGGCGGTGGCGGCGGGAAAAATGGGAGAGAGCCTGTTAGCATTTCTTTAACGACCCTCTTCCGCCCATTTTTGTCACGTCTGGATTCGGCTGTCAAAACTGTTATCACTTCAGTTAGCTACAATCATTCTCAAGTTTCTTGCGTGAGCATTGCACGCGACGCGAACTCCTTGTGCGATGTGTGGAAATTTATGTCTTCGAATTCGTTATCCTGGGAGAACATCCGTTTTTTTGGCTCTAGTTTATAGCAATAAAAGGGGGCGGTAAATTTTTTCCTCTGTTGGGTAGGTTATGCTCTGGAAGGTTCTACATTGTCACTGAGCAAATGTGACTTTAACCGCTGAGAGGTCATGGCACACATATCGATTTACTGTGGCGTTTGTTTGTGGTCGGCAGGATTTGCCCTCTGATGAGAGAGCATTTTCTTTGACCTCTAATTTGAAGAAAAGCCTTTTAATTGCGGCTGAATAAGGGTTTTAATTTTCTCCAAAGTGCCTTCTGGATCTGAGTAACTAAGTGATTTTCTTCAGTCCGTGAATTAATGTAATATTTTTCTACAATGTTGTATCACGCAGAGGCCAGCTCGTCAGTTTTCTTTGCAGAGTGTTAAATTATCACGGATAGTGCTTTACAGATCCAGAATTATAAGAATGAAGTGCAGCTTAAACTTAAGCTACATCAACTAAGGAGAATTGCATTGTGACTTAGTAAACTCCAGCTTAAAAGTGTTTCTCCTAAAATAGTGTGAGTCTTTTGACTGGAGCGCGTAGTTTCTCCCTTGGTAATTGCGGAATAAGCTTAACAGTCTTTGGACTGTTTTGTTATTGCCACTTTGTGATCAACCAGGACTCCGAATTACCGAAAACAATTTCGCACTTTCCTTCTCTCGCTTTATTCTCGTCCTCCTCTCCCTCTTCACCGATGCCAAATAGCCGCGGCCGAAAATCCAAGCTTTTTCAGTTGTTCCACTTGGTCTCGCATTACAGCTATCAGCGGCGAAACGACTATTATCGTAGAGTTTTCTAGGGTTAGAGCAGCTTTAGCCAAGCGTGGGAATAGCTGAAAGATTAAACGTTTGCCGAAACCGGTGGGCATAATACCGAAAACATCTTTACCGCGAGCCAAGTCGCAGACACTCGTCTAAAGCACAAGACAACGCGGATTCATGAAGACCACACGCGCGATTCGCGTTAGCCATCTTGGTGATGACAAACTGATGACCACGCTATTAGGTGATGATGTTAACTGTCACAATTGACCAATCAGAGGGTATATCAGGAGCTGATATACCGGAACAGGCCGTTAAAAAAATGCGTACAGGCTCCGCCGCCCTGTCTCTCTCCAGCCCCCGCGCGTTTTTCGCATTTCTTCTTACTGAACGACTTTCCACCACTATCTCGGAGCCTGGAACAGGCTACGTCTGAAGCATTTACCGTTGACAGATAGCGACACGGCCTGAGACTCAAATTACTCACACTCGGGGTGGGAGACAGTCTCTTGCTCCCGTTGACACAATAGGAAAACAACGAGAGCAAGAGACTGTCTCCCACCCAGAGTGTGAGTAATTTGAGTCTCAGGCCGTGTCGCTATCTGTCAACGGTAACTGCGGAGTTCAGGCCGAGCCTCTGTCGATGGCTTCAGACGGGAAAGGTTGCAGCGATTTGCGACCTTTGATTCGCTCTCGGTGCAAAGGAGTCTTAAAGCAAGATAACGAATGGAAAGAAGAACTATCGTGTGTTACCTAGCCGTAATTTGGAGGCAATTGGAGAAGTTGGAGCGAATTTATGGCCGTTTTCCTTCGCTGGATCAGTCGAGCCGCTTCGCTGGAGTGCCCAACCTTGGTAAACCTTTATATAAAGAGAAAACCGTTTACATAAAAACCCATAAAACGGCCATAAATCAGCCCGTGGACCACACGGGAGAGACGTAACACACATTTTAAGTAAGGTAAGCTGTTTTTATTGAAATCCTTTCATTTTCGTAGGTTACGGAAACGATAGGTTTTATTCCCATACAAATTCTTATATTTTGAATGTTACGCAACGATGCCGATGCTCGCCGATGCTCATATTTCGAGCTTGGGCTACCTGGGGGGTAGTTGTTTTATTTTTTCTTCTATCCGTAAAAAACTCTCGCTAGATCTTGTGTTTTAAAGCTTATAAAATATGATATTATCACAAATTTTGTTTAGTTATGATCAATTGTTACTCATGATTAAACAAATCGGACTCAGTCCTATTTCTCTTATTAACTATACAAATGTTAAGATTATTATTCAAATTACTATTATTATTATTATTATTATTATCAACATCATCATCATTATTATTATCATTTCTTGCCTTGTGCACTGGCTGATCTCATACCGTTGTACTTGCTAAGGGAGCGAGTCATGACCCATGAAAAAGGACCCTTAGATGTCGACTCCTTACTCTAGAACTGACTAACACTTTTCTTAAAATCCTTTCTGTTCCTAGAAGCGTAGTTTTTTGGGGGCAATGAAATACAAATTCTTGTGTCCAACTTTCCAGCCACTTCTCCAAGTTCTTCATCACACTTGCGAATGATCCTACAACAATCTGTATCGGTCTGTATCACCTGCACAGTTCTCGTGTTCCACATCCTTGTAATGTCCCTTTAAGCTCCTGATATTTTTTAACCTTTTCAACAATTCCCTTATCCCCTTCTACAGCAATATCGACAATGGCGCACTCTCTCTTCTGTTTGTTTACAACCACATGATCATGTCTATTGTAGCATAGATGACATGATCACATTGACTGTTCATTATCCCACAGTAGTTTAACTTCATCGTTTTTACTCACACTGTCAGGCACGTGTTCGTACCACTTGTCCTTCTTTCCCAAATGATATTTCTCACATACCTTCCAACGAACTACTTTTGCAATATTGTCATGTCTCTGTTTATATTCCCTTTGGGCTAACTTTTCAGTTACACCTACAGACAATATGGTTTACACTCTCGCCTCATTACCTACATAAAGGGGATTCGCACGGTCTTGCAGTTAACATGGTATCAGTTACATGGTTGGTCCTCTGAGCCTGTTCCTGGCCTGCACAAATAAGTCCTTCTGTTTGGATCTTCGAGTCTACTTTTCGTAACCACCCCCAAGTTTTCTTACATGTGTTGTTCCGGGTATTTCTCTTGAAATTGACCATGCAGCTTTCTTTCCTTCCAACTGTCGAGTTTCAGCACATTGTTCCAAGATGTCTTCAATCAACTTAACTGACAATTTACTCACTTTCAATACACCTTACCCCTTACCCCTTGAGGTAAAACGTCCCAAGAATTCTTCAAACACCACCCAAAATAAACTGTTTTACTCATATCTCACACACCCCTCACAGCTTATTTGTCGGCCCGACCTCCATCCTCCCTTGATCCATACACCATATCAACATCTCTTTTTGAATGGAAAGCACCATTCATTGTCAACACCTTCCTAGTCATTTTATCCAATGTTTTCAGTTGTTCGTTTGCCCATCTTACCTG